GAGCCTCGACTCCAGCCGAGCTAATGTCTTTATAATATCTCGCTGAGGTATCTTTCATTTCCTACATTTAAAAAGAGCCGAATCTCGAAAACTAGTTCGGTGCATAAAATGTGTGTCTTCCCCGCAAGAGGCAAGACACAGAACCTACCATGGGGAGACACGATAAATGGACCCTCGATAAATCGGTCCCCGTTGCTAAGGCTAAACGTGTTTCATACCCTGAAGTTGGTATGACCTGGCCAAACGCAACACAGCCGGATACTTCCAAGCCCTGAAGATGGCTTGGGGAGGCTGATGCCCCTCGTGGCTAAATCCTGAAGTTGATTTAGCGGGCTTACAATAATAACCGACATCAATAATATTCTTTCGCCAAATCCTGAAGTTGATTTGGTACGATTAATATTCTGGCAAGGCACAGTACCTACCGGCAAGAAAGTCAGACTCGACAAAATATCGAGGTAACATCATTTATCGTACAGTAATTATTTCTCGCACGTGCTCATTATATATTCGTACATTCATACATACATTCATACATACATTCGTCATATACGCGCGTCATATATATATCTTGACATGAATACTTTTTTTCCAAACCCTGAAGTTGGTTTGGCAAGGCTATACGCCCAATCATTTCCATACCCTGAAGTTGGTTTGGCGAGGCTAACGCCTTTCTTAAAATCACATGAAACATCGGGAGCACTACCCGATCGTGCAATAATTCAATAAAAAACAGACCGAAGACCGGATAATGAATTATCCGACCAAGTCCACATTAATACGAAAAATAAAAAATTGTGTCGTCTCAATACGAAATCAAAATCGCGAATCCCATAACGATATCATGGGGCCCGAGTACTCATACAAAGCCATCATTACAGACGCGAATTTATTAAAATGCGTCATATTACACGCAAAACACGAAAATTGGGTACCATATTACCCGACTAGGCCATCCAGGTCTCCATTCATATAGCGATTGCAAAAAGTTGACTATCCACGCGGTCAACTTCATTCATCAGAACATATAACACAATTGACATTAATAAGTCAGGCCGAAACCTGAACACGAGCGATAAAGTGACTACGGGTCTCAAACTACCCGGACAACATTCATATGTCACAGCATTCAAACATATTATAAAGCATAAAACAGCCAAAATTGACTATACATGCGACTTCAGAACAGTTCTATTCAGAACGTATTCTAAAGTCGGGGGCCTACTGTTGTTACCTAATTTTGGCCTCGCCTATTAAAATATTACACGGATATATATATTAAATAAATATAAAATAGCAAGTTTCTCTGTCTTATTTATATTGACCGAGTACCCTGAAGACAAGACGCTCCACGTCCAAAACTAATCAGAATTCAATACCGCCAGATCGACCCAGATATCTCAAAGAAGCCACTTATGCAGACACGACAATTGCTGACAAGACAAATATCAGCCAAAGCCATTATTTATTATAAACTATAATTATTGGGCCCTGCGCGGTCTTATTTATTATTTAGGCCCTGCGTGGTCATATTTAGTATTGGACCCTGTGCGATCATATTTGATTAATTACATGTATTGTGAAAGCCCATTAGATATACGGGCCCATATTTAGCCCACATATAAAACTAATATCTAATATGGGCTATAGAATAAGCACACCAGGACTTTTATTTTTCCTTCCTTATCTGCTACAAAAGGAGGGGCACCGCCTTCATGAACAAGGAGAGACAGATAATTCTTCTTTTCAACTTCTTCTTTTATTTTTCTTACAATTATTCAGTACAAATATATCTCCAAAAAAATCATGACAATTCCATATAAATCCTACACCCCCTATTCACGGAATAGGGGTGTACGTTTTATGTTGTTACAATTTCATCTAACAACAGAACTGCACGGCCCAGAGAAGCCACCGCGGAGCACTCGACGAGCCCTACCTGTGAAGGTGGCGAAGAATTTCAGAGGATTGTTGAGATTGGGGATGCAGGAGAATGGAGGATGCGGGAGCGACGAAATTTTTTTGCTAAATCTCATCAACTTATTTTGGAAAATATTTGTCAATCAATTTATATAATATAAAAAAATCTAAAAATATGAAGATCTCTTAAGAATTCAATCTCCTTATTTATCTTACAACTTATTTAACAAACCACACATTTTTCCAATAATAAAAATCCCAAGGAAAAAATGCTACAAGTACATAATAAATGTACATAGAGATGTATATAAAACTCACATGGAGTAGGGTCCACTTGATTTTTTATTTTTAGTGGGTCCCACTCAATGTGAGTGTTATGTACACCCCTATTTACAATATTATGTACCTATAGCATTACTCAAATCGGAATCATATTATCACTACGAATTTGTCAATCAATCTTGAAGCTTGATAATATCTTCATAGATCACTCCGAATTTTAGAGATTATATTAACAAGCATTCTATTTGTTTTTAATGTCACATTATTTTTTTGAATAATATTAAATGTATCGATTACTATATAATAGAGAGAGAGAGAGAGAGAGAGAGAAATTTACTTGAAATAGTATTAAAATTCCCGCTTTAGATTTTAAAAATTACTATTTTTTTTTGAAATGGCAGAGGATAAAAATTCGAAACAAACTAAAAAAATGTTATTTTGAGAATGATATTGTGTAAACCTTAACTCTTAAAACATGGACAATGATTTCGTTAAATACAACGGGTAAATCCTACCAATAATGGGAAAAAATATTGAAAATCTTGCTTCTAAAAGTCTGATCAATCTTTTTTTTTTAATTTTTTCGGTCAAACGTGTAAATTTGGTTACAAAAGTTCGCTCAATCATTTAATGGGTAAAACGTTTGAAATTTTTTTAAAACATTCGAAAAGTCATGTCAATTAATTGTTAAATATTGTTTTATCTATACTTATCTATCTACAAAACTCATATTTTATAGTCACAACTAAAAATTCGTAATTATTTAATGTTCATTTTAGAAATTATTTTTTATATTAAGATAATTCAACTTAATTGATCATTTTTGTTCATATTTATTTAACTACAAAATCTTTTAAAGTTCAGAAAGAATCTAATATTAGTGTGTTCATAGTACATAACTTTTTTTTTTTTGTAGATATTCGTTCATCTCATGTCCAAATTACAATGATAATATCTCATATCTCATATCTATATTATATATATATATATTCAAAAAGCATGACGATCATAACATTAATTTTATTATATATCATGTGTTCAATGTTATTGGTGTGGTTGGAGACACTCATTATATTCAAATAAATAATATATAATTATTATATGTTGTAATTCTTTTCTTACAATAATGAGATGTTAAACATAAATAATTATGTTTATATATAAAATTTTAGAAAACATCTTAAGTAAAATCTCCGTCCGTACATCGCGCGGGATATGCAGTATTCTCAAATGATTACCTCACGACTTTTAAAAGTTATAAAAAATTTAAAAAAAATCCAAATTAAATACGCTAAGATTCATTTTTATATAATTATATATTATATATTTATTCATAAGTTGACTTATATTATAAAAAATTACATTCGACCACATAAGCTTATATGAGTTTATGGAATGAATATTAGTTAATATGTGTATAATTACATAATTCACTTATTTTATTATATGAGATGAGTGTAATAATACAGAAATGTATTTATTATATTGTAATATATATATATATATATATATATATATTAATTTTAGTATTATCATAAATAAGAATATTAATATAAATTTTGTAATTATTTTTTTATAAAATAATGGCAAATGATAATATATGATGATATTGACATTTCATTCAGGTCGTATTCAAAACACATCAATGGAAAAACTTGTTTCATTCCGTTCTCATAATCATTTCATTATTCAACTTACTCCATTCCTATTAAGTTTCATTCCATCATACCAATCACAATTATAGATATAACATTTCATCTGCTTAAGTATGAGACAATTACAATTCTAAAGCTAGTTTACATACTAATTACAATTCTTAAGTATGAGACAATTACACTTACACCTTACAAGCAGGGTACAAACCATTGATAGACAAACAAAAATGACAGTCAACTTCTTATCTAATCACAAAATAAACCAACCCGAAATTTTTAGCTTTTTATATCCCCATTCGTTTTGTAAAAAGGACCGGGTGTTAAGAACAAGAAGCAATGAAACGAAGACTTGCACACAAACACATCTCAACAAAACCCGATTTAGTAATTACTCAAAACAATTGATCATCAGTAGTAGGGTTGTTATTGAACCAAATTGAGCTTAAGATTTTTGAGCTCGACTTCGACTAGTTTTTTACATGTTCCTCTTCATTCGTTTAGTAATCAAATAAAATATTTTACTTGTGTTTGTTCGTTTTTTAGTTTGACATGTTCGAGTTCATTTATTTATATGGTCGAATTTATACATGGACTGTTCAAATTGTTCGACAAGTTCGTGTTCGAATTGTTAGACAAGTTCATGTTCGTGTTTGTTGACTTCTTTTTTTAATACTGTACAAGTTAATTTATTTTCTATATATCCATATTTATATATATAATAATATTATATATGTATATACTATACATATTATATATAAAATTATAAAATATTTTTTGTTCGCCAACGCTTTTGTGTCCGTTCGATAACTAAACGAGCATAACTTCATGGTCAAGTTAGGATCGATTACTAAACAAAAGAGTTGTTATCGACCACGAACGAACACGAATGAGCTTTGTTTGCGAACAGTTCGGTTCGATAACAACCCTAAGTAGTAATACGTAATCACAACAAAACTGAGATGGCATTACCACAAAATATCTAATGATCATCAACTCCTCCAAGCCCATAAGGGAAAGGGAATGTAAACTCTCGAAGTAAAAGGAACTATAGATGTTTTTATTAACTAAAGGCAGAAATAACATTAGTGCTTTCACTTGCAACAAAGAATCAAACTTAAAAAAGGCCGGCCCAACCTTTCCCTATCATGTTCCGGCTTTACGTCTGCCAACACGAGCAACAAATCCAGCCTTGATCGGAGCAACCGATCTCCCAGAACCGCACTATAAGGATTCCAGGACAAAAACCCTCATTAATTTCTAAAGCATTAAAGTCTATAGCAGTATAAATATAACTAGTTGAAATTATTTTCAAAATTAGCTGATGGGAGAGGGAGAAGCAGAAGAAACAGAAACTGTAAAATATACAACAGCAACTCTTATCACACCCAAGCCTCAGAAATATAAAGAATCTCATTCAAGACAAAGTATTCAGACAATGTAGGCAAACTGATCAATCATCACAGGCCAGGGTGGAATCAAGTAAAATGTTTCGCTTCCAATTGATTTTGTTCCAAATAAAAAACCAGAGTTGCATGAGAAGAAATGTGTACCTTTTCACATCGAAGGAAGAAAAGACGGTTCTCCTTTGAGAGGATGGTATCTGGACTTTTGCAGCCATTGCATATGACATACTCATCTGCCGACATCATCAGAAGCAAATATAATCAGGCACAAACATCTATAGACCTTAAAGGCCAAAAAGCAACATAAAAAATGATCAGTATGTAACTTCCATAAACGTCAGGCTATTATACAACACTGTATCGGAGGAAAGAACTTACTGATATACCGCCGCAGAATACCCTCAAAGTTCTTGGGAGCAAACCTCCCTTTCACGACCAACCTTTGTTGTCCATCCAAAGACCCACTTGTTCCCATTTCAGCCAGCAAGAAAGTCATAACATGCTCAGGTTGTCTATGCATACTACAATAAAAGTTAACCAAATTCAGAAGTTAATAATAAATATATCAGCATTTTATTCATGTAAAAAGGTGGAAAAACATGAAGACACACACAATCTGAACATCTAAAACGGGAAGTTCGAAAGAAGTGAATGATCCAATCAGAGAAAAATGACGAAACCAGATTCCTAAGGCATAGTTCCTTCATTTGTATTTTTTGACTTTAACAGAGGAAAAAAAGTCAACAGCTATTTAGGTTACCAGAAGATTCAAACCATAACTATCCAAAGCACCAACTAGCTGTAAATCACAAATCTCGATTCCAAGGAGGGCAATTTAAGATAAAGAAGGAACTACATACGTCTTGCACAGGTCCATGAAATTCACAAAAACAGTTTTCTTAGTTCCTTCACGAAGTACTTGAGGAGGTCTCATAACTGTCCTGCGCCGATCACCAGCAAGCTCCGGATTATTCTCACGTAGAATGTTGAAAACTCGAAAAAGAAGCTCCTCATAATGATAATCTCTATCTGTTCCTTCCCATGGATATTGTTGCAAAATGGTTCCTTCTCCTGCCTCATCGTCTCCAACTACATCTAAAACAAGGGACAAGGTTCAAGATGGAAAGAAAATCTAGAAAAAGCCATATGTGAAAAAATGTATAAACTAGGATACTCCTAACCATCCAAGTCTTCTGCATTAGTCTCTTTTTCCTCAACCAGAAGATCAGTGTGCGCCTGAAAAAGTACTATAAGCGTAATACAAGAACCATGCACAACATGCCCAGTATAGCAACACGAGCACAGAATAACTACTGACCGGCTTCTTCTTTTTCTTTTTCAGACCAGCAAATGTTGTTTCACCAGTTTCAGAAACTGCATGAGGACGTTACAGTAAGACAGAAATTGCTCAATAATAAAATTCTCAAACATATAAGTTTTCAAAATTAGAATGCAGGCCCTAATAAGATGTACACCTGTTAAACTCTCAGTTTTCTCTACTAGAGAGTCAACAGGCTCTTCTTCAACTAGGTCTTGAGGCATTGGTTTCTTCTTTTTCTTCTTTTTTGTTGGATCAAAAGGAACTATCTGCAACATAATCATAGAAGTGTAGAACATTTTGAATCAACAAGCATTTCAGCACCATCTTCTGCCAAAAATATCACTTGAAAACAAGGCACCCACTCTTTGATTAAGTATTGAAGATTTTAATCTAGAGTTAAAAGTTGAACTATCCCAACAATAAATATGAAATGCTTAACCTATATTTGTAACCAAACAGCACACAGCTGACACCTTTATAATCAAGCTAAGGTGCTAGTAAAGCCACTACTTCAATATGCATCACACATCAAACAATTGCAATTACATTGCCCTATAGATTCTCAGTTTCTCAAATCTTATTACTTAATGACAGCTCATATATAGCTCCAAAAGAACGAAACAGACTTGTCTCTTCCCTGGAACTTTGTTAAAATCAGCAATTTTTTTAGAACTCGGTAAATTCAAATAGCTTCGAGCTATTTGATATAAACAAAAAGGATGAAAACTCAACAAACTGACCATATCACAGGCTTATACATCAAAACAAAGCATAGTACTAAAAAATGTTGCCATACTATTTGTCCGAAGGAAAAGAGAAAATGAAATAAGCCACGGAAAAAAATTGAAACCAAAAGGCAAGCACTACTATCCACAATCGGAAACAGAAACATAGTATTTTCTTTTATACTTTCGGTGAAGACTTACATCTGGCACATTACTATAACCCTCCTCCTTCATCACATTCTGATTTTCATCATCAGCCATGTTATCCTTAGATCTGCAACACAAAATACAAAACGTAAACCGACTTTCCTCACAAGAGTCACAACCCAAGTTCACACACGAATAGAAAGTCACATGGCCGTTCAAAGTATCCCAAGATTAAAACTTTCTTGTAGCAGAAACCCTAAGAAGGGCACGGCATACACTAAGCCGTAATGCACTTGAAAAAATGAACACAACAGTTCCGGTAATTCAACTTTAAACATATCCTTTCCCTGTCATAAAGAACTAATACCACAATATTTGCGCCCAATCAAATCTGACCACACATTCAAACATCCTTATACAAAGGCACATTCAAACCAAATCTGAACAAAAAACCCAAACCTTCGACAGCAGTCGGTTTGCCGGAATATAAAATCAAACAATCGGAAAAGTAGAACACATCACACCAGAAAACGAAAATAACTCTCCAGTAGAAGAAAACCCTACCTGATCAATATAACGAATCCAGTGAAACCACGACGGATGTCCTGCTATAAGAAATTTCCCACAAAACCCTAGTTTTTGTTTCTTCCAGAAATAGAGAGTTGTTTATGGAGGCGAGGTGAGATTTATTTTGCAACTAGTAAAGGCCCGTGTATTATTGCTAATTTTTTTTCTTAAAATTTAAAATTAATGAGAAAAAAATAGTTAAAAATTTAAATTCTTTTTATTAAAATATATATTAATATATATTTAGTATGACATTTATTATTTGTGTGACTTATTTGTACTATATTATAATAATTTTTTAACTTACAACATATAACTACATTAAATATAAATATATTAACTGAAAAATAATTTTATTTTTCTAATAAATTTTAATAAATATTATTATTTTTTATTATGATAAAAATAAATATAATTTGTTTATTTTATATATACAATATGGATGTCAAATCGAAAATCATGAAAAATGATTAATTCGATATATTATATATATAAAACCGATAATAAATACAAAAGTATCAACTTTTAAGATATATTTATAATTCAATAGTTAATTAAAGAAAACAAATCAAAAGTCAGGGATATATTAGTCATTTAGTGTTTTATTATGTAAAATTACAAAGAATTAAAGGGTTATATTAGTACAAGTGATATTAAATTACCTAAATTAGCTAAATAATATTTATGGAATGTCCGAAACTAGATTATTAATTATTAATTATTAATATATCAATATTATTGTCCAAGCCTAATTAGAAAGCATGATTCTTCGCCAAGTAGGATTCCGAAGCACTAGAAGCAGTCCCGTAGGCTCAGCGCATTCGGAAATTATATATAGGGGATGTTGCTTACATCTCATCCTGCTCTAGTACTTTATCAAGAATGTTAAAATTTAATTTTGGTCCCCCTATATTTTAATCTACATAAAATATATTAATACAAAATAAAATTTAAGTACAGCAAGAAAATTAAAATTTAAAATTATTTAACTAAAAAATAATTTTGTTGATGTATATTTTATCAAATTAATATTTAAAATAAAAATTAATAAAAAAAATTAAAATTTGAAGAAAACAAATTGTAGAGCAGTAAATAACAGTGTTTTAAAAGTCGCTAGATGTTCCACCAGCGCCTAGGCGGGGCCTTGGCGGCACATAGTGGGGCCCTAAAAATCAATATTAAATATCTTATTTTTTATTTATTTAATTACCTACAAAATAAAACTATCTTTATAATAAATCCACACGCCTAAGTCCAAATAATAATATTTATATATTTTAAAGAAACACATGAGAACAAAATAATGTAATTAATATTTAAAAAGTAAAAAAGAAATAAAAATTTGCCGTCGAGTTCGCCTAGGCGCCTAACTGATTTTTTCGGCCGATTTGTTCTAATCGAAGGCGGCCGGGCACCGCCTAGCGCCTAAGTGCCACCTAGACCGATTTTTAGAACAATTGTAATCGCGCTACATGTAGTTCAATATTGTTCACATATTATAGTAACATGAAAATATAGTGAGGAGCAAATTTGTTCGCACTACTCTAAAATAGAGTTGCAATGTGGCCCTGAACAAAAACGCCACAGAATGTCTTTATTTCTAATATGGGTTGGATCATTTCTTATAAGTTGGTCAAACTTTGTTAAGACAAATGGATTTAAGATTTTATGAGTTGAAATACGTGTTTTTTTAATAGATAAAATTATTGAGAAAATTATAATTATATGAGTTAAATACGTAATCGAGCAGCTGACTGTGCTCTTTTATACGTGAAGCAATTATATATAATTATCTATACTGAAAAATTGGTTTCATATATCTGTTCTTAGTTTCTTTGTACCAAATATAT